GTCTGTAAAATAGCGGTGATTTTTGACAATTTATCTCATACAAATTATGCTCGGCAAAATTTTATGTGGAATAAAATACGCAACACCGTCAATAAAAAAAATAAAAAAAAATTAAAAAAATCAGGGGTATTTTAGAGTCACTTGAAACTTGCCCTTCATTACACTATAATTGAATGGGATACAAAACTGCATTTCCGAAATTTTTCTAAAAATATTAACTTATTCACTGCAGGTCATTCGGTTGGCACACTCCTATGTTGACCGTTTTAAGAACTGTTTCCAGCTCTCAAGAAAAACGAAAAAATCATATAAAATGTTGCCGAAGAAATGGAAAAGAAATTTTCTTTTAAGTTTTAATTTGTAAAAAAAATTAAAATTGCATTTACCCGTAGAATATGCTATATTTTGACAAAAAAATTATATTAAATAAACAAAAGGAAAACTGTAAATACTAATGATTGAAAGGGTGTGCAATTCAAATGACGAGGAGTATATATGAGCAGATGTGATCACTACCACAAGTAAACGCGAGCTGAAAGTGTGATTGTATTAGTGTGCCAATTACGTTTGAATGATTACCCTGGTAGACAGCTACTAGCTAAATCTCCCATGAATTCTCCAGGAGCGTTACCTTATGTATCGGGTAAAGTTTAAATGAGTTTCTTAAGGCCCGTGTGCAGAAATTACCATATAGTCCTCTATACGTGTGAGTTTTTGTCTTTTTTTAACACCCTAGTAAAATATGTCTTCTTATGTATAGCTTCTCTCTTCTTGTCGTGAATCTTGTTGAGTATCTGTACTCTTTTCACATTCACGTATGTCATACTCAGCCATATATAGCTTGTTCACTCTTTCAGTACTCCTACGAAGTGAATACCTCAATAACTACCGGTAGTCTTACCGAACGATTTCCGCACAACCTACTGGTAGTCTTACCAAGCGATTACCGCAAAACCTACCAGTAGTGTTACCAAACGATTATCCTATTCAAATGAAATTTTTTTCTTATCTTTTCGAACTTTTCATATTTTTAATTATTTTGTATGTTTTATGTCCCTTACATATTTATATCCAAACATATATATATATACACATAAATAATTTGCGCATAACAGGGTCCACTTCTCCAGAAGCGCGCTTCAGTGTATGTATGTGCGTTTTCTGTTTTAAAAAATAGTTACTTAGTTTCCACCATGATTTGAATGTTAAAATTACCATTGCAGTGGCGTATTCGTGCTCATTCAGCTTTTCTTCCACTTCCATTGCAGCATCTATTGTAAAAAACGGAAGTACGCTAGCAACTTCCACTATTCCTTCATCAACGATGTCGCCGGTCATTTTTCCAACTGACTGCTGCACCTTCGCCAAAATTACTTTACACTCGCGCATCAAGCGATTTTGAGCCATTGTCTCGTTCCTGTTAGCCATCTGAAATGGAATAAAATATTACCTGCAAATAAATCCAATATTTATTTATTTATTTATTTAACCCACATTTTCACACAAAACCTTTTCCATAGCATCAATGCGATGATCAAGTACATCCAAGCGGCTTTCAACCTGTCTTTGGTTTTCCATTATTTTTTCGTCCATATCGTCCATTTCATTTTGAAAAGTTCGCTTGTTCATTATTCTTATCTTTATTCCTTTATTCACCTATTTTATTTTTATTTGATTAATTTATTTTCGCGACTGCGCATCTAACGCCAAACTTTGTTTTCTCAGAATATATGTAAAACTATGTTCCCATTAGCGTAATTTAGAGGTCAAACTTAATTTACGCATAAATTAAGTACAAACTAAGTAATTTCGCCTTGTAAAGTCTCTCAGTAAATTAAGTTGAAAGTACGTAGTTTATCTTAAACCAAGAACCAAATCACGAACAAATCTGTGTCGGCTCTAATTTTATCGATAATAATCGAAAAAAGTATTGTCCCATAACTCCTAGAGCTGTCAAACTATCGATAGTCAAGTCCATCGATGTTTTACGATAGTCTTAAGGGTGCCTATCGATACTATCGATAGTATCGGCCCATTTGAAATGTTTTTCTAAATCCATTTATTTTTCGTTATCTTGCTTTTATAAATTTGTTTATTCTAGCGGCTCACGGTTGCATTTTAGTATCGAGAAATATTGCTAGAAATTCATTCGCCGTGTAAACAGCCAAAAAGCGATTTCAGAATTTTCCCGCCTTTCGGAAAAAAAATTCTCTGACACTTTACATGCAAGGTGCGACTGCACATGCAAATGCTTTCTGCAATTTCTCAATTTGACAGTCTTTTGAAATATACTGCATTGCCCGGTCTGACACGCTCTTAAGACGGCAATGTAACCTCTGCTATTTCCACGCTTAAAATAAAAAATGGCGCTTTTAGAAATAATGCCATGAACCAACTAAACGGATCACCCAGTACGGCAACCGCGTAATTGCATTTGAGAAAAAAAAAATAGTTGACGTCATTTTTTAATCGGTTGTTTCATTCACACACATGGTTTCATTCTGTTTCATTCACATGGCAGCGAAAAAATGACGTCACTGCAAAAAAAAATACTTTTTTCTCGCACACCGTCCCGTCGTTCGTTCATGAAATAATGCTGTCAATTTTTGTTCTCTTTGAACCAGGAAAGAGAATACGCTATCAATGAAACGATAGTGGCGATAGTACTAAAACTATCGATAGTTATTTCAAGTGGCCAGACTATCGATACTATCGATAGTATCGTCGATAGTTTGACAGCTCTAATAACTCCACATCATGGAGAAGATGGCGTTGGAGTTGCAGGAGCTTGGCGCTATGTGCACTCCAAGCGAAATAAAATCGAAAATGCACAATCTGACGGCGAGATGTAGGTGAGACTTGACTCCATTATTTAAATAAGATTTTTTTTATCACACGATGTTTCAATGCAGGAAGGAGAAGAAAGAAATCGGACCATCGGGTGGGGCACCTTCTAAATGGCCTCTTTATATGGAGATGCATCAGCTTTTAGCACCGTATAAAAGCTACAATTCCGAAACCCTGGTCGAAGAAAGCACAAATGGTGAGATGCTTTGCATTTTAGGCCCCTGGGAAAACCTCCGAGTATATTTCTGACATGAAAAACCGCTTCTCATAAATATAT